TGATATAATAATAAAGTCTTGAGAAAGATTCTCAAGATTTATTATCCAATTATTATTTATATCTTTAAATATGATTTAAGGATTAAAATAATAAATATGATTATAATAAAATGGTTGTTGATGGTTGTTTGAACTACTTAACATATCTTATTATTTTCAAAGTCAAAAGTTAGTAAATACTATTTAAATAAATTTTGATTTTATTTAAATATTACTAAATGTTGATTATTTTATGCTAAAATGTTTAGTATAAATATGTGCAAAATTGTTTTGCATTTAAGTGATGTTTTGATCCAAAATTTCTAAGTGTTAGAAAGAGAAGAAAGTGTTCTTAATAAAACTTCAAGAAAGAGTTCTTAAAATTCCCAAATAAAATTCATAAATATTCCTATACAAGAAAACCGAGTCTTTTCTACTAGCGAAGGAAAGTCGTCGGAACCGGGCTTCATAGGGTGGATACGTTTAGAGGGAAGACACTTGGATTCCTCTAGCGAGTAACCTCAAGTCGTTGAAGTTACAACCGGGAACCGATTCCCTCATCCATCATCAATAGTGAAGGAGTTCAAGACATTCGGTAAATATTTTTACTAGTATTTACTTTATAGTAACAAATCAAAATTTGTATATGATGCATGTTTTAAAGATGACGATCAGTTAATTCGCAATTAGTATGTACGGGTGTTGTATTTATACGATAAATACTTACTTTAAAAATTTTAAATTCCGCTGTGTACAGCCCGTACGGTACTATCGAACCTAACATATATAATACATTTACATATTTACTTATATAAATTTATGGAAAGTGTTATAAGAAATTTAAATTATGTAAAATTACATAAAAAAATGTCTACTTAAAATTAGTAAGCAACTCGTAGGGTGCTCGTAAATGATAATAAATTGCATTATATTCATTTCAAAATAAGTGTTATTTTAAAAAATTTTATTCAGAAATTCGATTTGACTACAATGTGATTCTATAATTTATTATCACTTACGAGCACCCTACGAGTTGTGTACTAATATGGATTGGGTATATACTCAGTGATTTTAATGTGCCATGAGCTCTACAGTTTCAGAGTTAATGTGGATTGGGTATATACTCAGTGATTTTAAGGTACTGGTTGCTTGTCATGTTCCATTAAGGTGTGATAACAAGGCGGCCCTACATATCTCAGCCAGATCAATATAGAAGAGATATTGGCAGACTTCTATATCTCAACCCCACTAGGCCTGACATCACTTATGCAGTCCAGCAGCTGAGGGATGCTGCCATGCATGTCCTAAGATATTTTAAAGGGACATCCTCTCATGGACTTTATTTCCTCATAACGGCCATTTTGTACTTAGTGCATGTTGTGATGCGGATTGGGCATCTTGTAAAGACACAAGAAGATCTGTCACTGGATTCTGCATTTTCTTAAGAGGATCACTAATTTTCTGGAAAACCAAGAAACATCACACTGTTTCAGGATCATCAACAGAGGCCGAATATCGTGTCATGAGCTCTACAGTTTCAAAGTTAATGTAGATTGGTATATACTCAATGATTTAAAGGTAGTGGTTGCTTGTCATGTTCCATTAAGATGTGATAACAAGGCGGCGCTACATATCTCAGGTAATCTGGTATTCCATGAATGCACTAATCATCTAGAAATTGATTGTCACTTTGTGCGTGATGAGTATAAATCTGGATTTGTACAGCCTACGCATGTTCCTTCACGACTGCAACTAGCTGATATTTTTACAAAGATTTTGCCTGGGAAGCAGAGTAGATTTTTACTGTCCAAGTTGAGCATGTCTCAACCATGCTACACTTGAGGGGGGGCTGTTGGAATGAGAGCTCTTGCTTCGATGTTGATTGAGGATGAAGAAGGAAGATGATCATACAGATGGACTGAATGAAGAATAAAGGTGAAGACATTTTAATTTTCTGGTTATTCGGTTATGTTTATAAACGGGTTTGGGGTCTTTATGCATTTTATTTTGTTGGCAGCGTTTTCATTAGTTGGTACGTCGTCGTTTTATGATAGAATGAGGAGTTGAGTGTTACGACGTCGTTTCTTGTTAGTTTGCATGAGATTGAACATAAATAGGTCGTCTTCTTGGTGCATGTACTAGATTTTTCACTGAATATATATGAAAATGGAAGTTGTGAGATATTTTGATGCAATTTTCAAATTCAACATCTTCTTCTTGAGAATTTGAGCTTTCTTTTCTTGCTTACCCAACTTTATTATGGAAAATATACTTCTATTGTGAGAAAGAGATTTTTTGGGGTAATTTATGCAAGAAAATGTGGGGTTCGCGTAAAACTGCGGACATTTGGAAGTGGAAATTGAATAAATTCCGCTATACGGTGATATGAACAACTATACAAATTGCCGCCATTGCAGAAGTTATCGACGTCTATAGGCACGACATCAGCAAAGATCTCTATCACGAGCTGCTCGTAGACCGACAGAGATGGTTCTTTTTCGGCAGCGGTGATGGATGGTCACGGGATAATGATTATTGAGGTTTTTGAGATAAAAAAAAATCTCTGATATTTTTTGGGCCGATGGGAACTACGTGGATGTGACCTTTGGGTAAGGAAGTTGAAAGGAAGAAAATCAAAAGGCAAGTGAGTTTACAATAAAATCCACAAGAAGACATTAAAAAAAAAAAAAAAGTAATGGTATTTTTCTAAACCGACGTCATATCAATAAAACAGAAAATGATGTTGTTTCAAGTAAAGAATTTTATCTTATAAACGGAGTAGGATACGTGTCGGGCATTGACGGTCACCCCCTCCCTTTTGTATATATAAGAGAATAGATAAACTATATGAGAAATCATTTTAACTTTTCTGAGAAGGTTTTATCAAAAACGTCAGAGCACATCTGAGAAATTACGTTGACATTATGTGTGAATACAAAATTTATTTTAGTTAATGTATCGTCTGTTAGAAATATTTTATTGGACAACATATGTAAATTAAATGTGTATAGTTGTCATAATATTATTCAATTAAAGTGATCTACTAATTTGTAATTTTGAATGAAGAGAGTATCAAATTATTATGGATTTAAAAGTGTAGATACCATTATGTGATTTTCTGTTTGTTGAGGGACCGAACTGAAAATCAATATTTCTTATTTATTTGGTTATGGCCCCAAACGACGAAAAGATACGAGCAGATTTATGAAGGGGTGCTTTCTCCCTTTAAAAGCACTCACTTTCTCACTTCAGAATGATAGAATATACAAAAGATATATACCAATACAAACACTATGGATAAAAATCTGCTATAAGGTTTCGATCGTTTGGAAGACCATACCAGTCCAACTAGATCGTTTGGAAGTAGATATCCACATGGAACTGAAGAACAAAGAACAGATGAATTTTCAATTCAATGAAGTTAGGTACGCTTCCGCTTTTATTCGGTTTGATTTTCAATTATTCGATATGAATGCTCCTGGGATAAAGCGATGTTTTTATTCGCATAAGGTTAAAATTTCCAACAAGTGGTATCAGAGCCAGGTTCATATTGATTATTTGAGAATTGATTTATATTTGGATTTTGTTGTTTCATTGAAAATATGGATTCAGTTATGATTTATTTCCTGTCCTTGCATACATGTATGAAATATAATTTATGGGATCCAAATTACATATTTTCGGAATTCTTTTTGATTCATGTGTTGACATGAATTCAGGTTTGAATC